TTTCACTTGTTTGCTGCTGTGTTTGTTAATCGCCACTTTGTTGTTTTGGTTCTAAGGTAGAACCACGCCGCCTTTTTGCTTATACAGCATTGTTTTTTCTAATTAATTTTCCCTTGTTATTGGATTGCATGACACATTTATATGGAAGCCTTTAGTTGTGGTTCTTTTTCTATATGTTTGACAGGAAACACCTACTAAGATATGTCAAATTGTACAGAATGAAATTGGAGCTTTGCAGAAAGGACAGGTATCCTTTCCTGGTAAACTTAAATTTTTTCATGTTTCTCAAGTAAACTCAATGAACAATTATTGTAGTTTAGTGCAAGTGTACAATAAGCTTAAGGCTGGGTAGCTGTAATTTCGCTTTTGCTGATTCCTCAACATTTTTAAAGTTTACGATAAGTCATATGTACATGAGCTTGTCATTTGTCCCTGCTAGTTTGGCTGAAAGACCTGATTCTGACATTGAAAACCACCTTATCTAATTTGGAATTTTGAGTTCACTATAAAACCCCTTTTCGTTTCTTCAGTCTATTATGCTGTAGATATTATTTCCTCATTCAAGTAAACAAAATTTATGGATGAAATTCTCTGTAGAATTTTTGTCAATTAGATTTTGTATGAATCAGTAGATTGTTCCTCAGTGTGTATATAAATATGGTTTCGCATATCATTCTTCTCATGATTTTTCATTGTTTAATGTTCATATTTCAGATTTTTCGTTGATTAGTACATATCTCTACAAGAGTTGGAAAAATATGGACAGAGAATGTGATATAGATGGCTATACTTAACTACAGAACACTGCAGAGCAACAACTGTGCAGGCTGTTGATGATTCATTAGAAGAACGTTGAGGGTGATTGTGAATTACATTTCATTCAGTTTAGTCATGTTGAAAAATGTCTTTTACGTAAGCATTTTACCACTCAGTACATCCAGTATATGACATCAATGATTCATGATTGGTACAGCATAATGTCCTGGGCAGTAAAACTCTATTTAAGATGGTTTGATGGTGTTTGAACTTTTGTTATCCTTGTAACTATGCAAAATATTTTGCTCCAAAGGACTTTAGTTTCCTCTGTTAGTACATTAATTACTGTTGAAGGCAACTGCTGTGAGCTGCTTTAAAAACTGATTGAAGGCACTTGCCTTTTATGCTTATCAAATTAAAGTAATGTCGTGGGTATATGTTCCTTAAAGCGAGGCTGAACCAGGGGTATCATAACATTTTTTGGGTGTAGAGTAAATTAACACTGGCAGCGTTTATCTAATGCATGCAATATTGAAAGTTGCATATATCTTTAGTTGCTCAGCCTTCACATTTTCAGCATGTCCATGATGACATAGTCCTTTATTCTTGTTTAATAAGAATGTATTTGCCTTGTTTTTTAAGGTGCTATCTATGGGAAAACACTTCACTGATCATTGGCAGAATCACAGTGAAATCTTCCAAAGATACTCTCATAGTCCAGGAAGTCCTCAAGCAATGAACAGTTGACAGGGCAAGCCAGGGATGGCTAAACTGGCTTTCTCTTGGAATGCTTTTGGTGTTGGTGGAACAGCTGACAGTAGCTCATTTGTTGGTGTTTCTGAAGACATTATTAAGGTTATATTATGTGGTCAACCAATTTTGTGCAATCTGTGAGGAGCAGGCCATTCTTTAAAATCTTTTGTTTTCCATTTTCAGGATATATATGAGGGAACGGAATTTCATCCAGTTTCTTCTGCTGAAAAATTGTTTGAAGAAAAGAAAACTACTATTCTTTTTGTTTGTTAGACTATCTATTTTCTCAGATAGTCACAACTGTCACCTCCAGGCAAGTGCTGCAGTTTGTTTTCTTTCTGGCCCTCTCCACCACTAATAATGTGACTAATTTAGTGAATATGGCATGCTGTCATGTTCTTCAAAAGCACTGAGTAAAGCTAATTACTCAAAAAAGTTGGACACATCCAGTAATTATTTCTATTACAGCTATAAAGATGTGGTTGACACTTGGTCTTTATAAGAGTTATAACAACTTGCAAGGAGGAAAATACATCAATTAAAAGATGCATCAACTGGCACCTGAACTCTTACAAGCAGCTTTGTGAAATACTGATGTGTTAAGTCTTCATAGAATTCTTTCTGGCCTAATTGAGAGTTCTGACAACTCAGCATTTAAAACTGCCATCAGAAAGCCCATTTTTTCATGTGCTGGATAACCTCAGGCTGTGTTCAGTTATTTTTGTAAGGGTGCCAAAACGCCCCTTATCTAGTTATCCTTTAGCTTAACAAAATCCTTTAGGCTAAAGCAACCTTGTGGTAGCTAAGATTGAAACCCAATAAGACACACAGGAACCAAGATAAGATATAGTAAAGTATACAGAAATGCTTTTTACTTTGAGCATGAATAAATGCTGTTTTACTTGGTTATTTTGTTCTTTTTATCATATGCATATACTATATTTAGCATCCAATGGTCAAGATTTCTTTTTTGCTGTAAAAGTTCACTTGTTTAGTTGTTCTTGCTTCCTGCCTTTTCCTCTTTCCTCTTTTTCCTGGAGGCTGGAGAAACCTGGGTCTTCTGGGCCTTTCTTTAGCTCTTCTTTTATTTCTCAAGCGAGATGTGTTTCCTTTTTTGCTTTTCTTATATATATAAATAAATATTTACAATAGTAGGGCTTCCTACTGTTTTCCCTAAAAATACTTAAAGAGGGATGAGGGCCCTTTGTTATCGATCAACTTTTCTACCCGCATTGATGGTCTAGGGGTTTGGCATGAAGCTTGTAGATACAATGTTTTCTGGCTTGGCATGGAATGTAAAATATGGATGATTCAGCAACTATTCTTGCTTGGCTTTGATTCTCTTCAGAGTTATCAACCCACTGAATGAAACAAAATATTTACGGGCTGAAAAGGTACAATCACAGTTTAATCCTCAGATCTTTTTGTCCCTCTTGTGGGTTGGTTATATTTATTAAATTGATTGATATATATTTTAGTGTAGCACTGGTGATGGTCTTGGGGCACCTGTTATCAGTATCCAAGTTGATTTTCCCAAGTCAAACTTAAAGATGGGAAGCTTCAACAAGAGTACTTATGTTCTTTCTATTCAGTTAAAAGAGAAATTTATTGCATATGTGGTATTCATAAATGTTGATTATAGGTATGTTGTCGTGTTTCATTTCAGGTCGTTGTCCAGGAATTCAGTGCCATCTATGAACCAGAATTTTGTTAATGTCCTGCACATCTATGATCTGTTTTCCTCTTTCCAATTTCAGCATGATAGGGTAAGTATTTAAATACTGCTAACATTGGTAATGAAGAAAGAGATGGATACAATAGCCAATAATGCAAATGATTTCTCAAGTGAGACTTTTTGAAAAGGTTTGGTAGTAGAATAGAATTTAGAATGCTTGCTGTTGTTACCATAACCCTCTGTAATTTTTTTGTTCGTTTGGAAAAATGTAAATTCAGTTCCTCTTTACTTCTATAAGATTATTAGATCAGCTACCTTGTGACGCCTGCCTTCAGTCATATAATGTTTTTTGTTTCCCTGGACCTGACATTAGCTCATTTATTATTTCCTTATTGGGCCATCGAAATACTTAACTATACTGTATGCTGGGTAGAGAGACCTGGCATATTTCATGCAAATCTTCCTGGGAGAAATGTTATGGATTGCTATCCTGATTAATGCAGGTGGTTTCTTCTCTAAATCGGTTCGATAATTTGGGAACAAGACTTGTCTCCAAACTGAAGTATCTCCTCATCTCCCCTTTCCTTTTCTGTTCACACTGCACTATGCTTGTACAAGTTGAGTAACATTTGATCATAATTCAAGGTACATGTCTGCTAATCAGAAAAAACTTATTTGGGATTTGAGGATTCATCACTTCGTCATTAGGCTACCATCACAGAATTGTGAAAGGAAAGAACTTGCCATGGTATGTTCTAATGCTGAATAACATTGCCTTGCATTTTTTGCTCACATCAATACCATGATATTTATGTGCACATAAATTCTACAGATTAAGTTCCCAAATTCATGTTTGAAACTGATGGATACCAATTTTCCTGGACCCAACCGAACTTGATATGGCCTTGTTTAATTTATTTCAAGTTTGAAATTCAAATTTGACATTTGATATGTTTGTAAATAAATCATGTAAGTAAGCAAAGTTGAGGATGCAAGAAATATATTATCATTTTGATAATATAAGGCCCCGCTTTTCCTGTAATATTGTTTCAAAATCTCAGGCTCCCTACAAAAATACAAAATTAAATGATGCACTGGCTTAATGTTTTCAGAAGAAAAGATTATTCTAATGGGTCTTAATTATTGTGCCGTCTCTATTTAACTTCAATTGGTTGATTCAGTAGCTTTTGTCTTTTATCATTGAGCAATTATTGTGAGAAGGTGGGCCTGGTGCAAGCGGTAGAGTCTTTCCGCCTGTGACCGAAGGTCCCGGGTTCGAGTCGCGGGTCTCCTCGCATTGCACAAAGTAGGGTAAGGCTTTGCTGACACCCCTTCCCTGTGACTCCCCTGCGCACAGAGCGGAGCTCTGCACTGGTATCGCCTTTATTGAGCAATTATTGTAATTGCAGGTTGTTGATGCTGGGGATGTATTCATTCAGTCTAAAGATACAATTGAGGATATTTCTAACACAAGAAAGCAATTCCTTTCTTGACCACATATCAAAAAGCCTTCCTAGTTATTTTTTCTGATGATCTGTTACTTGGTATCCAGTTGGATGAGCTTTATAACCAGTTTGAGGTTGGCCTTACTGGGTTTCAGGTCAGACATTGTGCATGGTTTATTGTTCCGTTTTTGGCTATTCAATATCTATATGAAGCAACAGTAAATGAATGATTGCAGGTGAAGGTATTGCTGCCTGACAAACATAATGTTTCCTCTACACTGGTTAAGCTTTGATGCTTCCATTGCACTTCGATTGTGTGTATTCCTAGATGAACCAGTGCTAAAACAATTGAGGTAAGATTTTGAAGGACGTTGACTCATTATGTCTTTAATTAATGATCTATTTTTGGTAATAGCTATATAAGACTATAAGTGTATTATAAAGTTTGTTCACCCTAGTTTTGCAATGTGATTTGTCTGCTTACGTTTATTCTCTGTAATGTAAGTTTCTGTATTTCTGAACTATCGCTTTTGGCAGGTCGGTTTTATTGTGCCATTTATTGATGTATACCTCTCTCAGACAATGTGTACAGTGCCATTGTTAATTTGCCTAGAATGAAAGAAACTAACCTTGTCAAGAACAGTGTGTTTGATAATCCCAAGACACATGGACACAAGAAATCGGGCCTTAAATGTGTCTGTGTCTCTGAAGCTAGCCAAGTTGGGTTTACAGGTTGACCTTTTGATGGTAATTGTGAGGAAAGTTCAGGTCTCATTGTTGGCATTGAAGACATTGATATCAGGTTAATAATTGGCTACTAATTTTTCAACCTTGAATCATTACTATTTTCTGTTCTTTTATGTGAGTTGCTGCTGTGATTTCTAGGTATGCTATCTGCGAATTGTCAGACCTTTCTCTTGCCATGAAGATGGTCAATGTTACTTCCAATTATTGGAAGGATGAATCAGATTCACATGTGCTATGCTTATCTGGGAACTTAACACGATGTCCTGAAAATTCTGTTGAAACTTGCTTGAATCTGCATTATAGAACTCATAAGCATGATGATCAAATGCATCATATATACCAGCTGAATTTATGTGATGTTGATCTGCATGTTAACCCATCTGTTATTGGTCAGATACAGACGTTTTGAGAAAACTTGATTCAGGACCTTCAGTTGGCAGTGATGTTGAATCCACAATGATTGGTCAGAGTTCCATGAAATCCGGGGCAACTAATGGCATACTTCCCAAGTTTTCCTTGTCAAATTTATGTGGTGCAGATGGCACAGTATTCGCAGGAGTTTCTGTTGACCACTTCCCCTTTTTAGTTGCAGATTACTGTTGTGGATATAGTTTTGGGTGCTTAGGAGCTCAAGATGTTGAAGCACAAGAAAGTTTATACTCAAAGAATGAGCAATGTCATGACACTTCAGGTGTGAATGGTTATCATGCATCAGATCTTGCCAGCAATACACACGGTAAAACCCAGCATTCAAATTGTTCATCCACCTCATCAAATGACCCCAAGAATGCCAGCAGAACTGTTCTGGATCTATCACTTATTTCTGTTAGAGTACATTTTCCTGAATCATGTGGTACTTTAGCAACAATAACCATTCCTGAATCTATATCAGCACTCACTTATTTTGATGCAAGCTCATGGGACTTACTACTGTCTGCTAAAAATTTGACTCTTGCTTCACCATGGACTCCACCAAATATCCATGAGCTGCTCTGGGGCACATCTTCACATCGCAATGCTAGTGCACTCAACGTTCGAAAGGCAAAAGGACTTACCTGCACTGTCAACCAAGTATGTGTTGGAATTCAAAATGTTTGTTGTGTATTGCCATCCAAGTTACTGGCTATGTTTGTTGGATTCTTTTGTTGGATGATTGGAATCCTATTGCAGAACAGGAATTCCCTGTGGCAGGTAACAATCTTGAGTGCTTGGGAGAATCACATGACTGTGTAACATACAAATTTGAGATCAGTGATTGTGTTGTAATTTTTCCTGTGAAAGAGCAAGATTTCTTTTGTCTAAAGCTGGAGGTTCCACATTTTTTCTGTGAGTTCATTGCAACTGGAAGCTCTGTAGAATTTGCAAAGCGTATCCCCAAAGAATTCTTCAGTTCGGAGTGCATAGTTTCCAGAAGAGTTGATGTCATCTGCATATATGCAAGAAATGCATCCATATCACTTCTAATTGTCAGCGACCATACAGATTTTGTGCTGAAGCTTGATGAGCGTTCTAAGAGAATCCATTCTCTTATTGAAAAGCTTGATGCTGGCATATGGATTCAGGTTCCTTGCAAAGATATACCATACTCCCAGCAGCCTACTTTACCCACCTCAATTATGAGCAAAATATCACGATGCAACTTGATTGCCGAAGGTACCAGATCATCATTGAACTTGTTTTTCAACTTCTTCAAATGTATTTTTTGTAATATTAGCTTTAACTTTGTCAAATCTTATGCAGATCTATATTTTTTATAAATGGGATGGAGACAGTTATTGGTGTTGTTGACCAGTTGATTTCGATCGGCAATGAAAGTAAATGTACAAAGGCAATGCCTTGCAGTTTTAGATCATAGAAGTTTCTCTGAGGCAACCCTGACCCTAATGAGTGTACCAATCTCACTATTTCGATCAAGGATCTGATGATTCTCTTGGGTCAGTCTAAAGATAAAAGTGGCACTGGAGAGGATTGCCACTGCAAACATGGAGTTTGATGTTTCTGCTGTACTAGTTGGTGAAAACCAGAGCACATGAACTTTGATGTTGTTTCTTTAACGCTGCAGTCATCCGGTGGTTACACTCCTCATCTCCATTGTTTCCGATGGGCCATTATCTCCTGTTTTCGTCAAGTTTACAAAGCACCATGCTGGACAAGATGAGATATTACTAAGTGTACCCCTTTTCGAGGTCTGGTTATATTTACAGGATTGGAATACGATTATCAATCATTCCCATTCATATGTGAAAACAGACGAAACAGTACGCCTGTGGAGCATGCAGCTGCTTTGTCTCAGTTTCCAGAAAAGCATCATCACCACTTATTGCATCAGAATTTGGTTCGCCAGATGACTTCAACTTAGTGCTAACATGTGAAACTATTGCTGGTGTACTCCATATACCTATCTGGGGAAAAGAAGAAAATCACACAAGCAATCACATGGGTGTGATTCCTTTCCAATGGAAGTGGGCACTCATCATGAGGCAGATGATATTCAATATTGTGAACCAAAAGTTTGCAAGTTTGTCACCTTAACTTTTGAGAGTAAACATTTTGTGATGATGTCAGGTGATAGCTGCATGAATTTTAAATGCGATTTAGAGAGATTGAAGGTAATGCTGGAAATGATTCAAGAGAATAAGGGTACCTCTGTTCCATTTGTGCATATATCTAAGGTTAAATCTTCTGGTTATGTTCATCAATCAGAAAGGAATTTGGAACATGTTTCTGTTGACCTACAAGCTGAATACATGGATGTTAGTTTTCACACCAGATATTTAACTTCTGGCATAATATGGAACTCAAATTTCCTGCTGCATCATCTGCATCCTCTTTTTATTCCGTGGCATTCAAGGCAGGATTGAGGAAAGGGTCTCTTCTGCTAAATGATGGAAGGGTAAGCTCTGTAACTGTGCTGCTTGTTCCTTTACTAAACATAAACTAGGTGCTTGTTAAATGCTGGGAATGTTTGGTTCTGGTATGTGCATTAATATTATTGGAAGTTGATCTTCACGCCATGTCGTGTGGGGCGCCAATATCAAAGGGCGCCCAAGGATCGAGACGCAGCTGTGGCAGTCTCAAGGGGCACCAGCTGTAGTTAATGACAATTAGTAGTCTGGGGAAAGGATAGAATTAATGAGAGATTAAGGATGATTAATGGGGAGAGAACCTAAGGAGCTTGTGGCTGGCGCCTAGGGGCTGGGCAGTCCTATATATACCTGTAATCAGCTTATGAGAAGGCAATGAAGAAACAAGTTATCTCCTAATCTACCTCTCGCTGCTCTTAATCTCACCCCTTTACATGGTAGTCAGGCAAAACCACGGCACCTCCATTACCCAGTTCAAGCTACCAGCTAAGAAGCCAAGGGCCTCCAACCCTAGGCGCCCGGGCCCTTGACAACTTGGTATCAAATAGCCTGGCCATGATCTTCTTCCACCTCCGCCCCACACTCCAATCCAAAGCAGACCACCTCGCCATCTTCCCCTGCCTCCTCACCCGCCTCAACAGCCTCCTCCATCGCCTTGCCAATGGTGAGCCATCCACCGCCGACTTTGCCAAGATGATCCAGCCCTCACCACCACCATGAACGCCACCATCAACGACCTTCAACAAGCAGGTCGCCGCTCTTCAGTGAGTGCACCGGCTTTCTCCGGCTTTTAGGCTCATGAGGCTCAGGCCACTAGTGACCACCACAGTGACCGCCCACCTCGGTTCGGTGGACTTACCCAAGTTCGACGAAAAATCCGATCCGCTGGCCTTCCTGAACCGATGTGAGTCGATTTTCACCATCAAATAATTGCGGCCGAGGAGGAAGTTTGGATGGCGCCCTACAACCTTGAAGAGGGGCTCGGATGTGGTTCATCCAAGTGCGGCGGAAGAGGGAACGCCGTCTTGGCGCCGCTTCTCCGAGCTCCTCAACCTCCGCTTTGGGCCGCCGATCCGCTCCAACCCCTTGGTGAAGCGATGGGCGTGCCCGGTGAACCGAACTTCGATAGCGGAGTACCGTAACCGCAACCGGCGCTGCTTCCTCGCGTCGGCGCGCTCACGGAGGTGCAAAGCGTACCAAGCGTTCTGGCCAGGATCGCAGCCGCTTCACCTCGGCGTGGAAGTCCACAACCCAGGCCCTCGTCATCGCCGCCGAGCTCACCTACAGAAGCTGAGCTCATGAAAGAAAGACTACCCGCTTGTTGTTCCAGCTCGCCTCCCACGGCAAAGAAACACGACACGGCCTCTTGGCGGGCCACCACCACTGGTAGCCCTACCCAGCCCCCACACTTCGTCTGCAGCCGCCTTCTCTCTCACCGTCGAGGGTCGCCAGTGAAGGTGAAGGTCCCCAATCAGAGATGGAGGAGCGGCGCGCTTGGCCTCTGTTTCAAGCTGCAATGAGAAGTTTGCGAGGGGTCACAACCGCGGCTCGCCAAAGACATCTTCCTCCTCGATCTGGGCCGAGGCCGATGGCGGCAACGATCCTGAAAGCGAGACCGACGCCAGCTGCGGTTGCTGCCCGCTTCATCTCACTACTCGCCATGGCAAAAAGCGTCCACTCCGGCCGAGACCATGCAGGTCCTCATCCGGTGGGCGAGGTGTCCCTTCTGCCCTCATTGGACTGGGCTCCACCCACAACCGTCTCCGAGGAAGCGGCAGCACGCGCCTCCCTCAAGCTCCGACCCAGCGGCAACATGAAGGTCACGGTGGCGAATGGGGAGCAGGTGCCGTGCCCGGCGTCTCATAGGTGCCGTTTTCTTCTCCCTCGCCAACGAACCATTCTCCACCGACTTCACCGACTTTACCTGCGGCGATTACGCCGTGCGTCCTCGGCACCGAGTGGCTGGCCTCCCTTGGCCCGATCCTCTGGGATTTTGGCACACTCACCATGTCCTTCTCGCACCGAGATCACAGGTGTCTTTTGGGCCGAGAGCATCGCCGGGGGCACCGGCCCTTCTCTACGGACGTACAGCGCAGCTGATCTCTTGCCAGCCCTGCTGGACGATCGCCTCCGTCCGTGGCTGCGCGGGCTGCCATGGGTGGAATACATCTACAACACCGCCTTTCAATCCGCGCCAAGACCACGCCATTCCGGCTCTTCTACGGCGTTGAGCCACCCTCCATCCCGCTCCCTATGAGCTGGCGAAACCGGGGTGGCGGCGGTGTCCAAGACCATGGCGAACGCGATGAGATGCCGGGTCGATGTCGGGGCCCGGGTACGGAGCAAGCTCGGGGACGTCTACAAGCGGTTCTACAACAAGCATCACCGCGGCGTTCACTACGGTACGTGGGTGATTGGAGTGCCGCTTCCGTCTCCGCCATCGCGCCCGACCTCCTCCTCCGCGGCGTCATCGAAGGGAAGCTGCGGCCCGTATTATGGCCCATACCGTATCTCGTGCCATCATCAACGACGTCGCCACCGCCTCAAGTTCCCTCCTCGCCGTACCGCACGATGTCTACCACGCCGGGCTCTGAAGAAGTTCGTGGGCACTCCCGGCCATCCCTACTCGCCTCCTATGCATCATGGCGCCCACTGGTAGGTTCGAGCAACGCTCCACGCACCCAGGCGCCCGAGGCATCCGCCAAGTCTGATACATTGGCAATCTGAGCCCTCGGCCCTCCGCTACTGGGAGGACATTGGCAGCTTCACCAGCGTTACCCAAGCTTCCGGCTCGAGGACGAGCTGCTTTCGTCAAGGGGGGAGAGATGTCATGTGGGGCGCCAATATCAAAGGCGCTCCAAGGATCGAGGCGCAGCAGGCGGGTCTCAAGGGGGCACCAGCTGTAGTTAATGACAATTAGTAGTCTGGGGAAAGGATAGAATTAATGAGAGATTAAGGATGATTAATGGGGAGAGAACCAAGGAGCTTGTGGCTGGCGCCTAGGGGTGGGCAGTCCTATATATACCACAGAATAATCAGCTTATGAGAAGGCAATGAAGAAACAAGTTATCTCCTAATCTACCTCTGCTGCTCTTAATCTCTCCCCCCTTTGTGGTAGTCAGCAAAAACCCCAGCACCTCCATTACCCAGTTCAAGCTACTACTAGAAGCCAAGGGCCTCCAACCCTAAGGCGCCCAGGCCCTTGACACGCCAACATTCAGAAGATAAAAAAAAAACAATTCAATGATATTGACTTTGAGAAAAGAGCATAATGTAATATTGTGAATATCACAAAATGAAACTAACTAGTACTAGCTATTATAAGATATTAGAATATATGGCTAATTTTGTAATCGGAGATCATTATATAATTTTTTAGCTCATAGAGCAGCATGGTGCTGATATGTTTTGACCCAAAGAAGAATTTGGACCATCAGGACGGGATCAGGCACAGCACGGATAATTATGTTTATGTTTGCTTCATTAATTGATGATATTAGATAGGTTTGAAGCATCTTGAATTCAGTAAATAAAACAAATTTGTATATGTTCTCCTGAGCTTTTTATACATCAATATGCTGAGTTACATAAGTTCCATTCAAGCTCTAACCTGCTCTTTATTTTTCTTGGCAATGCTTTTGACAGTGGGGCAGTCATGGACCTGTAATAGAGATCTTATTGAAGAATTTAACTGTGCAGTTTAGTCAAATGAAGGATAGGACAGAAATTTCTGCTTTTGTTGACCTTTTAGTAAATTACAATAACATTGACAAGGTAAAATATTACAATGTTCCTGCCTCTTAAATTTTCGCTATGATAGTGCTGAAATAACAACTTATATATTTATAGGTTATGTGGGAACCTTTTGTAGAACCCTCAAGATTTCAGTTACATATGCTAAGAAAATGTGGTGATTGTGGACTGGATCTATCACCCAGTACTGATGTGTGTTTAAGTTCAAGCAAGCAGCTTAATCTGAATATATCAGAACCCTTAATTGAGGTATGTGAATGTGAATTTTTTTTTCTTGCCATGCGTTGTTCAAGAAAAGAAAATTTCTCTTGCCATATAGCAAATGGCGTACTCCCTCTGTTCCAAATTGTAAGTCGTTTTGGCTTTTCTAGGAATGCGGCTTTTGCTATGAACCTAGATGTACGCTATGTCTAGATACATAGTAAGAATTGTGTATCTAGAAAAGCCAAAACAGCTTAATGTGGAACAGTGAGAGTATTCTGTTATAAATCCTAGTGATATTATTGGTAGTTTAACTGCCAGTAAAAAACTCGATTCAACAATCAGGATAGTAGACTCTGCAATGACTATAGTCAGAGTACAACTCAAGATCCAACATTTGAAATCACTTGGATGAAATCACATTCCTAGGAGTGTGTATGTGTGCGTGTGTTTTGTAAGGGGTTCCTAAATCCCCACTTTTTTTTCTTAATACAATAAAGCATCGCGAGAAAAAAAAAGCTCATAAGTGTTTTGGACGATTAGATGCATCTTTGTACTTGTGCTCAAATGGTTGTATGCAAAGCTTTTCCCATTTGGATTATATCTGCTACATATCTGGTTTTAAGGAAAATGAGAGGTAGGAGCAGAATTTGGGCCTTTCGGGATTTGGGTCACTTGAATCAGTTGAGGAACACTTAGAATTTAGAATTTACCTATGAGACACAATTTTTTAATTTATTGTTTTGAACTCTTCATTTGCATGTGTAAGGCGATCCTCAGACTTAGCCAGATGATTACAGATTCTCTTGATCCAAGTAATGGTAGTGGTCTTGGGAAGATCCTGGAATCTTGACATTAAGCCATGATGATGTTCGTACCAGAAGATATGCGCCTATACATTCTCTCGAATGACACATCATTGCCCTTTAGGTTCAAGGTGTACCGTGGTGCTGTTAATTCAGATGATGTTGACAGTTTCTCTGTAATAGATGAAAACTCTGTACCGGCAGGGTATGCTGTCCCAATTCGTCAAAGAAACTCTTGATGATTTTTTTCTTCCAACACAGAGAAGCGCGATCGTCAGACCATCTCATCGAGAAAACGAATGAGTGCTGTATCACACTATATGATCTCCATAGAGTTTGATGGAACGTCAGGCCCTTCAAAGCCAATGTCAATGGACCTTGTGGGCATTTACTTCTTTGAAGTAAATTTCTCTTCAAGTAAAAAGCCAATTCTCGGCGAAGAAAGTTTAGGAGCATTTTCGTCTAATGGAAAAGGCAACGATGGGTTAATTGTGCCTGTGGTGCTCGATGTTTCCTTACAGAACTACAGCAAGCGTATACGAGTTTACTCAACGGTAATGACTAATGCCCATTTCAATAGTCAGTTACTACACCATTGGATGCATACACAGATTAATGGCCTCCTTTTCTAGGTAATACTATACAATGCAACATCAATGCCCCTCGAATTGAGGTTCGATATACCATTTGGTCTTACATCAAAGGTACATAATCTTCGACATTGTAACCATTTCAAAATTCAGATGAACTTATTATTAGGAAGTCAGTAGTTGCACTTCTATGCCTTTAAAATTTTCACCTCTATACAAGGTAAATAGTTTCCACCAAAAGAACCAAATATGAGATTTCTCAAGAAACTTTATTCTGCAGGTAATAGGGCCCATTCCTCCAAACAAAGAAATTCCACTGCGGTTCATTTGTCTGAAGCTGGCCAGATTAGGTGGCATCCTGCTGGCAGAACATACTTGTGGAGTGAAAGCAGCGTTCCTTATCAAGTTTACTTTCACGTGAAAGCAGGGTTGGGTTCATGAAATCATCTGTTTGCTATCCTTCTCACCCTAGTAATGATCCATTTCGTTGTTGTGTATCTGTTGAAGAATACAATGTCCCTTCATCCGTTAGTACCCAGAAAGGCCAGTTGTGCAGTGAAAGATTGAACACACAAGTTTCTGGAAGTTCTACTCCAAATATTTTTAAGCAAAATTTGACAAGGACACATTTTATACGGCATGTCAAGCTTAATACTCCGCTTCTCATAAAGAACTATCTCCCTGTTTGCATTTCCTTGGCAATAGATAATGGTGGGTCTGCACGTGTAGTTTCGCTAAAGGAGGTAAGCTTCTGGTGCCATGCATATATCTTACCTCAGCCGGTTTGGTTTTTCATTTCAAATTTGTGACTGAATTGTATTCACAGGTAGGGTCTGCCTCTATTTTTTTTGTTGATCCCTCCAACGATCTTGGAATTACAATTGATATCCAAGATTATAGGTCCTTGAACATAAAGTTTCCCCGGGCTGAATCATTATCTACTGCAGCAAAGTCAAATGGCTTCAAATTCTCCATAACAGAGTCGATTACTTTCTACTCGAATTTGTCGAATTGTATGTACTTTGGGCTTTTTTTTAAAAAAAAAACTTAAGCCCACCGTAATAAAGTTCTGATATTAATTTGTTCTGCAGCTCCTCTTAATGTTATGCTGGAAAAATCAATGGATGCTCGTTCTGGCGCAAGGGAGTTGTATCTTTCTGTTCCATTCTTGTTGTACAATTGCACAGATCTATTGCTTACTGTCACTGAAAGCAGCTCTGAGAGGAGTGGGTCCACCCTTGTGATTCCTCCTAGTTTTGAGTTGGATGGACATGCAAAACATTTGCTTGAAAAAAGTGGTCTTTCTCTTGTTGATCCATCTGTACAGTAAGTGTCTTTCTGTCCTTTAGAAATTCACTTCTTATCTGTTTCTATATATGCTCTAACACTTTTGTGTTTGTATTTCTCCTGCAGGTGCTTTACAGGCAAAATGCCCCAGTTAGATTTGATTGATGGACGCTGCTCTTCTTCAGAGATAAGCTGCACCAGTAACAGTGAGTCTGTAAAGAAAGATTTTGACAATGGTGTTAAAGCTTATATGTTTGCTCCTGATGGGCACACTCCAGCAACTGAACTTTCAGTTAAGTTGAATGCTTCTCCGCCTAATAATGGAACTGAAACAACTCGGCGAAATTGGTCAAATACATTCCTCCTTGTCCCTGCCAGTGGTTCAACAAATGTTACTATTCCCCAGTCATCTACTTCTGGTGCCTTCTTAGTTGCAGTGGCATCTATACCTGTTTCAACAGAACTTTTTGGGAGGACAAGGGCTATTGCTTTCAGGCCAAGGTAATTGAAAGGTTTCCATTTTCATCTACCAACCGTTGTGGCAACAAATTGTTTTTAAGCAGTCATCCTTATCTGCCACAGCCGTATACAGAGTGTGGGTTTCTCATGTATAAAATGTGTCAGAGCACTTTTATTTAAGGAAACAACTCAGTCACTAGAAAGTAAAGCAACTAAATAACAGTTTGGTTGTGTACCAAGAGCAAAAATAAAAATTCTTGAAAACACAGGAGAGCTGCATTTCTTTGCATTAAGAAAAGGACAAGAACCCTTACAAACACACAACACACCAAACACAAAAAACACACAAAGCAGTTCAGTTTACTTGCCTTTACAAAAGGCTGCACAGACCGCCGATGACCAACACAATCATGACCCTACCAAACCTAAGCCGGCTACTGTTCCGGCACAATGCCAAGAAGGTGGGTAATTCCTTTAGGCCCGGCCAAAGATCATTTCAGCAGCTCCTCTTTAGCGAGCAATAAAGTTCCAGCTAAATTTGGAGATGCCCATCAGCGATTCCTGTGTTCCCAAATTATCCAAGCTCCTAGGATTATACTAGAGTTGAGTCCTCTTCGGGTTTGATTATCAATCAAGGATTCTGTCCTCTCCCACCAATCATCGAAACAGACATCGTCGATCTGCGGGGTTAGAGCCTGCAGGCCGAGCTTTTGCAGCAGCAGAAACCAGAATTCCTGTGAGAAGGGGCAAGCACAGAGCAAGTGATTGATCAATTCTTCCTTTTTTATTGCCAAAGTGGACAGCGAGGGCATGTGGTAGACCTCGCTGTGCTAAACTATCGGCAGTCCAGCACCTGTTATGAGCCACCTACCACATGAAAAAACGGCTTTTCCTGGAGCCCATGACTTCCAAATCCTCTCTCTTGGTCTGAAAGGAATAGCACCCACAAACATTCCTTCATAGGCCGACTTGGCGCAGTATTTGCGGAAGTAGAGAGGCACCAAATGTGAGAGTCCTCTACTTCAGGTTCTAAAACCACCTGACCAAGCCGTCCCAGAGATCAAAATACTCAACTATCACTTCAACACTAGCACCTTTGATGTCAGACACCTAACAATAATTCATATGGGCCTCTTGGACAGTCCTCTTATAAGCTCTCCTCTTGGCACAAGTGAAAACAGCTGGGGTGCGAGAGATCCGCAATACACTGTCCGTGCAGCCATCTATCAGTCCAAAATAAAGTGGAAGTGACATTGCCAACTTCTGACACTACTGCCAATCTGCCATGGAATATAAGGCCCAGACACAACCATGAACTTGAATTGCGAATGCAGACCAGGGTGGTTAGCCTCAGTCTTTTGCAGCCAAATCCATCTCATCTGTAGGGCCCAGTTCAGATTTTGAAGGTTGGAGATTCCTAGCCCTCCGATACCAAGAGCAAAATGGAGCTTTACTTGTTCTTTGACATGGGCATGATTTCCTTTGCCACTGTAAACCCAAATTGCTTATACCAGGTTATATGTGAAATGAGTCTTGTTACAATAGCTCTGCATATTTTGTGATGGTACCATAAAAGAAATCTCTTGAGCAACATGGTTATTAGAAGTTAGAACTTATTAAAATGGAGAATGAATTTGGGCTGCTGTTAATGATAGAGTCAATGGCCAGGTCCTGTAAAGGTTTAAATTCATTCATCATCCTAGGAGTATGGGCTATCTGGACTCACCACAATCTGTGTGTTTTTGACGGTGTTTCCTCCTCCCTGACTGGTGTTGTGTCTCTGATTTTAGAGGAGGTTTTGGAAGTTTTGGCGGGGCTCAAGGTGTGTCTTATCTCCCTGCCCTTGTGCCACTTGGTATCTAATGTTTGGTCCCAAGCAAGTTATGTTAGATTAGAGACAAAACCTGACAAAAGACACAGGTAAGAGCATAAATAAGTACTACTAAAAGCAGTAGCAGACCCAAAGCTTTCTAGAAGCCTGGACGGTTTAGTGGGCTAAGCAGCAGAGCAGGCCTAATCTTCTCTATACATGGGCGACACAATAATTAGGGCCTAGTGGAGTTGAGCGCTCAGGAGTCCGGGCAGAGGCCAAGGGTCTCATCGGGCCATGGGTCCACCAGTGACTAAAAGTAATCATAGTAGTATGATAATAGTATTTGTTGGGCACATCGGTTGCTGATTCCTATGAGGTCCTTTCTAAAGATAGTATATCCGTTCTCTCAGGTCTCTACTGCCCTCTTCCCATACCAGGTTTGTTCTACCCCCTGCCTCTTCTTACATTATCGGTAATTCGGGATCCCACAGGATATGCTGCTATGCGCTGGTGCCTGTGGAGTCCTCTGTAGGATATGGCCAAACCATCTCAATCGGTGCCCCTGGAGGCCTCCATTGGTCAAAAATTTAGATGTAGTATAAAACTAATATAACAAAATTCTTGTTTTCTTTGTTGTGAGTGTTCTAATGTGTGCAGAATGTATATCTTGGTCTCTTGGATTTATAGTTTCTGCCATTAAAACTTTTCCTTATGTTTACACTTCTAGCTTCTTTTACTTGTACAATTTCATTCCATTCTTTGTTCGCCTGCCTAATATCTACTTTTTTCCTCTGTCCCTACTATTTTGCAGATATGTCATATGTAATGCATGCAGCAATGATTTGTTCTTTCGACAAAAAGGAACACGATTTTCTAAGCACTTACGTTCTGGGCAACACTCTTTCCTTCACTGGTCTGATACAGCAAGGTGATTTGCATCATTACTACCCTGTATACCTTGACAGCCTGCTTTGTTTGAATATATGAAATGCTTAATAGCACAAAAAAAAGAAAGGATTTTTTACAGTTTAGGCATGCATACTGCAGAAACCTGGATCAAAATCTTAGACAGCTTATAAGCCGGCTTATAAGCCATGGTACAATATTTTTCTCTCCCAACAAATCAGCCATACAAATCAGCACAAGCGGCTTTACGAGCAGCCGAACAGAGCCATACTGATGTGACTTGTATTTTAAAAATGTGAAAAGGGAATAAACCTTATTCTTGACTCATACTGAAAATATGAAGGGAACTAAATCTCATTCTTACCAGAGTGCTATGTTCATTTTTGTTGTTTGTGCATCCTCCATATATTTTACTGCTTGGGCTGAACAACCTTGTTTTTAGAGAGTTGCTGGTCTCCGTTCGGTTTGATGGCCCAGGATGGCAATGGTCAGGAAGTTTTTTCCCTGACCACCTGGGAGATGCTCAATTGAAAATGCGGAATAGTGCCTCAGGTTTATCATATATGGTTCGAGTTGAAGTGCAAAATGCCGATCTAGACGTATACAGCAAGAGATTTTCTGGAAAAAATAATGTCAATACTGGTACAGTACTGATTCTGCTATCTGATGATAAGACTGGTTTTGTACCTTACAGGATCGACAATTTTTCAATGGAGGTAACTAGTTGTGCTGCCTGGCTTTGTTTGAAAACTTAATGATTATCATTCTTATGATTACTCTTTCAATAAATTCAGAAACTGCGGATATATCAACAGAGATGTGAATCTATTGAAACAATTGTTTATCCCTACACATCCTGTCAATATTCTTGGGATGAGCCTTGCTATCCTCATCGCCTTACTGTTGAGGTATATTAGCTCTTTATGAATTTTAGCTTGTCTTAAACAATTACGCAACATTGTTTCTCCCCCATACTATGTACAGATTCCTGGAGAACGAAGTTTGGGTACATTCAATCTGGACATTCTCAATGATGATGTTCATGTGTCGCTACCTTCTACATCCGAGGTAAATGATTGCCTTCAAATTTGACTAGCATTTAGTGTAGTGAGATTTTATAGGTTGTGTCCTTGCTGAGTCCGGGCAAGTAAAAGTCTACTCTTCGGTTTTGTTTCTTGTTGCTTTTGTTTTTCCCCTGTTTTTTGTTTGAGAAAGATAGACACATTGTGTATGTGCCTACTTAGGTGTATAAATGTCCATAGTACATTGTCAGGATGTTTATGGTTACTTGCCCTGTGTGATTAGAGTATAGAAATCTTTAGTTTCCTGTCCAGATGTTTTTGGGAATGACTTGGTCCAATTTCACATGGAAGCACTAGACAATGACATCAAAGAAAGGGAGAAAGCTTGATTGGTGCTTGTCCTTACATATCGCATTCTTTAACTGATTTTCATTATCAGCGATTGTTTATATTTTGCATTGTTTTCCTTCCTGTTATGTATGTCATACATATCTTTTACAGAAAGCTGAAAGACAATTCTGCATCTCAATACATGCGGAAGGAGCGATTAAGGTCAGTTTCCGGCCCACTATCTGCCCTAGAACTGTCTGATTCATTTCTTTTGTCAATATTTGATTTACAATCATAATATGTAGGTGCTAAGTGTTCTTGATTCAAATTGCCTGTCACGGAAACAAAAGAAAAGAATTTTCTGGGATCAAAGGAACCTAAAGTTGCTGATCACAAACTGGAGCTTGATATGAATTTTGCTGAAGTTATCAAAATACACTTACCATTCATCGGGATATCTCTAATAAGTTCTTCTCCACAGGTGAACTGACTATGTCTGTTTTACTATACTTATGTTTCTCATCACTTACAACTTAAGTGAAGTTTGTTTACTATACTTAAGTTTGTTTGACAGGAATTGTTGTTTGCTTCTGCCAAGGAGATGACAGTTGTTGCCATGCAGAGTTTAGATCAGCAGAGATTTACAGCTCAAATACAATCTATGCAAATTGATAATCAGTTCCCTGATAGCCCACACCCTGTCATGTTGTCATTTGAGGGCAGTCATAAGGGAAAATCCATGAACTTTTTTAAGAGTAAAGATACTAAGCTGAAATCAGCAAATGACATTCTTTCCAATACTACAGAGCCTGTGCTGCAATTTGCTGCAGCTAAATGGAGAACCAGAGATGTATCATTTGTTTCCTACCAATATATAAACATAAGGTACTCGTTACTCTTTGTTGATAATTCGTCATATGTGAACTTGTGGTGACACTTTTTTTGTTTGCTGGTTGGCAGCGTAGCTCCTGTTCGCCTTGAACTTGAAGAAGCGACTTGTCTTGAGCATGATTGATTTTTTAGATCTGTTTCCTCTAGAATAAATATTGGACACTTAGAGAAAAGTCTTGAGCTAAGTATTTTAGGTGGTGCTACGGACATGTTAAGAGAATATGAAAAAATCTCAAAGAATATATCAGACAAGCTCCTGGTGCAAGACAGTGAATTGTTGCCTTCTGTTGTCCCAGTTGGTGCTCCATGGCAACAGATACACCTTTTAGCCAGAAAGCAGAAAAAGGTGTACATTGAGTTGTTTCAGTTGACTCCTGTCAAGTTGACTTTCAGGTTATTCTTCTCTAATGTTTTGTGGTTATGACTGCAGGAAATGTATATATATTATTAACTTACCACTGGCAACTATGTTTTACATTGTAGTTTTACGAGCACACCTTGGCTCAATAGGAATGAAGGTGGTTCAGACCCCAGCATAGGTTTCAACAACACTACTGCAATCCAGGTGGAGATACATATCCCTTAACAAATAAATTTCTTTCTTTTTATGAACATTTTCTGTTTTTATAGAGTTATTTAATCTGTCCTCACAATTGCTTGTACAACATAGAAGTTATCTTTCCATGCATTTGTGACTTCATTCTGTATTGCAACTTCTTTACGATAACTAAGAATGGCACGATAATGATTGCATTCCCCCAAAGGAAAATTTCAATGTCAACTTAAGAAGTATGGTGGCACCCCGCCCTGGGAGAACCCCCTCCCCTGTCTCAACTACCCACCCAACACACATGGAACGGCCTGAACAGCATCTACTCAAGTAGCTAAGATTCTTAGCTTGGATAGGCACATGTTTCCAATGTTACAGTCTGCACTTATAAGGTTGCTTACCAACATATTTTCTAGTATAAGTATAGATAATTTTCAGTGGTTCTTTTTGTGTTTTTCCCGTACACTTGCTTTTAGACAATACACAGTTCTCCTGCATGTTTGAGAAAAAAAATGCTTTTAGATATTTGTTTGATCTGTTGGTAGTATGTATGATCTGCATATATTTGTTAGATTGCATTGTATCTTTTGCCCCTGAATGTTTCCATTTTGGTTGCAGAGAGGTCTTATGGCCCTCTTAGATGTTGAAGGAGTACCAGTTTACCTTGGAGAAATTATTGCGGAAAATCTTATGGCCAGCTGGCAATCTGTTCAGGACATTCTTGTGAGGCATTATAGCAGGCAAATCCTCCACGAACTTTATAAGGTAAATGGTAGCATCCCAAATGAACTGACTAGAATGCATTTTACAAACCTACCAATATCTTGAGCTATTGAATGTCACTTATATGTGGGGCCAACTGACCATGAAAGGGGAATGACCACAAGGTTGTAGTTTTACGAGTGTAATCCAAAATAGTGTTGGTTTCTGAAATGGGCACAAAAGGATTTGCGACTATTAGCTCAACATTGTTCGATTGTGTGAAATTATGTTCGACTGTTTAATGCAGGTTTTGGGTTCTGCTGGCGTTATAGGAAATCCTATGGGTTTTGCTAGGAATGTTGGGTTTGGTCTAAAGGACTTCATATCTGCTTCAAGAAAAGGGAAATTGCAGGTTTGTAAATGTGAAGTCTTAGCAGGAATGTCCACTCTTTAACCTTCCAGTTTGAACTCAAGATCTATGGGTTGCTCTTTTTACAGAGCCCAGTTGAACTATTAAACGGTATAGCACAAGGTTCAAAAACTCTTATTGGAAGTACAGTTTATGCAGTCAGCAGCGCCACTTCTCACTTCAGTAAAACTGCTTATAAGGTATTTATGCTGATGACCTGTTTGATCATTGAAGAATATATGTTTCCTGAAATCACTGCTAAGGAGAAATTCCATTATCCAGGGCCTTGTTGCCTTTACATATGATGAGCAAGCTGCTTGAAGATGGAAGAACAGGGAAAGACAGCTAGGTTTGCATGGGGAAGGAGTACTGAATGGTTTTCTAGAGGTAAAAGTCATCTCTCTTGATTGTGCATTGCCATCTGATTTCAACAATTTTTCAGCATATGCTTATTTACACTTTAAAACTAAATAATATATGAGTTCAGCCTTGGGATAAACATGTGGGGATTTTTTTTTCATTTTTCACCATAAATCTTGCTGGACATTTATCTAAGCATAATGTGTGTTCTGCGCTGTAATGATTTTCTCCAGGGTCTGACTGGGCTCCTTCAATCACCGATCAGGGGAGCTGAGAAACATGGTCTTCCCGGGGTCATCTCAGGTACAACCATTCTATTAAGCATTTATATTCAGTTTATTCCCATTTGACCAACAGCATATCTGTTCCGACAGGTTTAGCAATGGGAACAGCTGGCCTTGTGGCACGGCCTATGGCTAGCATTCTTGAAGCCACAGGCAGAACTGCCCAGAGCATAAGAAACCGAAGCAACCCTCATGAATCCAACTACTTGCGAGTCCGTTTCCCCAGGCCTGTTGCCAGAGATCACCCTTTGCTCCCATACTCCTGGGATGAAGCCATCGGTGTATCGTTGCTTGCCCAAGCTGAGAGTGGTAGACTAAAGGAGGAGACATTTGTCATGTGCAAGACACTCAAGGGGGCTGGGAAGTTCCTTGTGCTAACTGAGAAGCTGCTTCTACTAGTCTCAAGTCCATATTTAGTGGATCTAGGATCACCTCAGTTTGTTGGTGTTCCTCCTGACCCACAGTGGTCAATCGACACAGAGATGCACCTCAAGAGCGTTGTTCATCTGGACAGGTCTCAGGAGGTAGTGAACATTGTTGGGAGCAATGGACAGACTTCACCTAGGGACAAAAGAGGTGGCACGAGAAACAGGGACATGAGCTCGGCCTTTGCCCCCCTGTTTCACCTCAGCATCGAGCTCCCAAATGATGAGGATGCAGAAGGGACGGTGCAGGTCCTACAGGCACTCATCGAGAAGGGGAAGGCACGGAGGTGGGACAAGAACATCCTACACCGAAGCAACATCAGTTGAGGTTTTTACAAGCAACATTAGTCGAGGTTATATGAGCATTAGCTTAAAGAAAAGTTTTGGTTGCGGCACAAGACATTGTAACTTGTGAGCATGCGACTTTGTATAGTTAAAGGCAGAGCAGATACCAGCATACATGATGGAGGAGGTAGTGTGAATAACGCAGTGTTCCATAGGTGATCACCGTGAAGCCATTGGACGTGCTTCGGTTTTTTGCAGTCTAGGTGTACACTTGTAGCTTCTATAAGTTCTGTCGACGGCGCTTGTAAATGAAGGGTGAGGGGCTATGTGTAGCAACACCATTGTAAAGATTTTGGCAGCAAAGATTTTTTTCTGCTCTTTTATGTGCTTTCCCATTCTTGGGCTGTGTTTACAAACTTCGCCAATCTTGGGCTATGGATATTTCTGATTTCACCATAGGGAATTTAGCAGAGGTAGGGGATACGCCCTACCAAACGCACCGAAACAACAGGTCAACAGCCATTGGCTAGAGTAGCCAAACGAACATTAATCAATGAAGTTAAGGTCTTCAAACAGCACATCATAATACCACAGCCTGCTCAAATAAACTTGGTACAGCAGTCACCAAAAAAATGCAATTCTGAGTTTGACTCAAGTTTAAAGAAAAAATTATTAACATTCATTACTCTAAATTATTGTTATCATTTTGAAAATACGTTCCATTTGATATTAAAAAATGTTGTACTTTTATTACATAGATATCGTCCAAACGTAAAACCGTATATACTCCTTAAAAAGGATAATTTAATTGCATTCTATCCAGGATTAAGGGAGTACTGCTAACGAGCTAAACTAGAATGCAATGGCCTTTTCTTTAAAAAAAAAAAAAATGAATGCAATGGCCTAAAATGCAAGCAACAGGCGATGCCTAAACAACGCACGTTTCAGAAGAACTCAAGAATCGGTTGAATTCTTGATTAAAAAGGCTGAACAAAAAGCAATTCAACCTCGAGATCAGCGCATCAACCAGAGCATTAACTTTGATTGATTAAAAAGGCTGAACGAAAAGCAATTCAACCTCGAGATCAGCCCATCAAATAGAGCATTAACTTTTGAGGCTCAAGGAACTTGGTACAATAATATAGAAACAAGTTTCACTCTAATAAGATGGTTTGAGGTTCATCATCACATAGCCTCAAAAAAACACAAAACTTGATTACTTGTAACGAAACCCTAGAGACATAACATAAGATAGTCTTGGACAGCATAAGCGAATTTGCTAATGGCTGGGTGATGGGGGCTCCTCAGTCGAACAGGCTGAAGCCCATGTCGTCATCAGACTCCTCCTTAACCTCTTCCTTCTTCTCCTCAGCAGCCGGGGCAGCTGCGGCCGCAGCACCACCAGAAGGGGCAGCAGCAGCAACTGGAGCAGCACCACCACCTACAAACAAATTTCAATACACCAATGATTAGACCAAGAATATAACTGGAAATTATTATGGACAAATTCAAGACTAAGGATGAAAAATTCAACACGATCTAGCATCCAATTCCAGTATAAACATGCACAGAAACTCTTTGGTGCACCTAAGGAATTAGTATAGACAAAGAAACTCTTTCATGCACCTAACGTAATTCTGGCACAAACCCATGCATCTTGTAAATACTCATGTCAATGTATCTCCGTTTCACTAACATAATTAAGATTGAAACATTGGTGTCACATACAGTGTCAAATTAAACATTGAAAACCTAAGATTTAATTTAAGTAAACAGGCAGATACTTAATACTCAATTAATACAGTATGGTCCAATCGAGTCCATTGTCCGCCGAAAGGTTCAATTACAGTGAAGGTGACAACTTATAATGTACTAATCAGTCAAGTAGAATTTCTAGAACTGACCATATCACAGGGTTGGATAATGAAACAAAGAATATTTAAGACATCTCGATCAACTTTCAAGATAAAAAAAGGCTAGCTACATAACAGACTAAGGTAAATCTACAACAATTGCCACCATGCAGCAATCCACATATTCCAAACCACGGGCATGAACATACAAAAGTATCTTGAGAGCAAGAGGAGGGTATACCAGATCCAACGGAGAGGATGAGGTCCTCAACGTTGCGCTTCTCAGGAGCTTGGCGAAGAGCGCCGGCCAGTAGGACTCAACCTTGATGTTGGCCGCCTTCACGATCGTGGCGATCTTCTCGGCCTGCAAGAAGAACCATCACGGAATCACTCAACCGCTCAAAAACGTTGAGATTAAAAGAGCCGACGGCGAGGGAGAAGAACGCACGGTGATGGCGATGCCATCGTCGCTGAGGATGAGGGCGGCGTAGGTGCAGGCGAGCTCACCGGAGGCCATGGGTGCAGGCGGCTTCCTCTCACCGGATGGATCTGCGGTCTCTGCGAAGAGAAAACACGAGAGAGAGAGGTTAGTCTCGGAAGCAGCAGCGGCGGCGGCAAGAGACGGCGCGAATCAGAGGTCAAGGCGACGGCACGTACCAGAGGGAGAGAGGCGGCGACGCAGGAGGCAGGGGGCTTCTAGGGTTCGGAAGGAGGCGGCGTGGGTGCGGCTATATAGGGGCTGGGTTGTTAGGGTTTCGCCCGCAGAAGTCTGGGCCGGACTGGGCCTTATCGTGGGCTTTGTTCCCTGCGTCGTCATCGCTCTTTGGGTTCGACTGACTACAGCACTTTCAATTTTTCAAAGTTTTTTATTTTATCAAAATCTAAAACTACCAAAACCTCGTTTCAAAAAAATACCAAAATATATTAATATAATAAATCACAGTATATACGTAATACTTCTGTCTAAATTCTTTGCCGCTTTCTTAAAAAAATGTTGCGCCACTTACTGACGAATGGTTGCCAAGGCAATTCATTTTCTATAGGATATAAGATGACCAAAATGCCATCATAGATTTATCTTTCAAGTGTTTGTTTTTTAAACAAATCAGGAGAGTAGCCGATTATATTAAAAAGCAGATGAAGCCCACACTGGGCAAAAATTAAACAGATACAACTCCGATCGGTTGGATTGGGACCTCAACGCGCACCGAAACTCCAACACAAAGAAGGAAAAAATAACTAGAGACTTTTCCCTGTGTGCCATTATAAAAGATCGCAATTCCTTATGTGCCCCTAGAAAAATTCAGCGGTCTTCAGCGCCACTACTCCAACTTTTTCGGGTCCTCCATGCCACTTCAAGTCGATTCGGGCTCTACTTGTAGTCAAGCAGCCAGTGTGAAAAGGGAAAAATGCCCTTAAGTTCAAATATGTTATTATTTTTTTGAGCATCTTAACGACTTCAAATGAAAAACTCAAAACTAGAAAATTGTAGATCTCGTCGAGATCTATAATTTTCATATAAAATTTATTTTCATTTAATTTCGCAAAAAAAATATGATGATTTTTCTAAGATATATTAATCATATCAAATCATATTTTTTTTATGAATTAAATGAAAATAATTTTTATATGAAAATTATAGATCTCGACGAGATCTACAACTTTCTAGTTTTGAGTTTTTTCATTTGAAGTCGTTAAGATGCTCAAAAAATTAATAACATATTTGAACTTATGGCATTTTCGCCTTTTCACACTCGGCTGCTTGACGGCGCTAGAGCCTGAATCGATGAAGTGGCATGGAGGACCCGAAAAAGTTGGAGTAGTGGCGCTGAAGACCGCTGAATTTTTTCAGGGGCACAAAAGGGATTTCGATCTTTTATAATGGCACACAGGGAAAAGTCTCAAATAACTATGGCCGGTCAGAATGGGACACACGCTTCACCGCCACAAAACCACCACGAACCGGTCACTACACTACGCCGCCACCTCCTGAAAGACAAAGCCGTCAAGATGAAGTCGCCCTCGTCATCACTTGCGACGTCGTTGCCGACGATGTCCCACACCGAGTAGCCCGCTGCTAAGCTGGGCTAGCCGCTGTGTTCCACTGCAAGCCGTGTAGCCCATCCGCAATTCACACAATAGTAAGATGTATAACAATATTAAAATAGTGTTTCATAAAATGCATGGACATAGCATAAGTTGGCATGTCGCGCAAAATAGAATCCAGCATAATAGTTCTACCCCTCCCTAATATAGTTAGGGCATTTCATTGCCACCCATCAAATTAAGTGCCAAGTATTTGGAAACAAGAATAGGCTAGTCTTGAAGTTGGATTTTTGAGAACGCTTATGGTAAAATTAGCTGGAGTTCTGTTTGAATGCTTAAAGCAAAGAAGTTTTGATGGAAAATGTTGCAATATTCTTATGACCTAATAATTGTAACAGAGACCAAATGCTAACTTGACAGCTCCAAAATTAAAAGCCACAATCACGAATAAATCAATCTTGTATCTATTCTCACCTCTTGTCATACATCCCGTACCCAAAATTAAAAGACATGATCACAAATAAATCGATCTTGTATCTTTTCTCACCTCGTATACATCTCGTATCGTCTATCTACATGCTAGAAATTAAAGTGGGGAATTGGGGAAAAAAAACAGCTTAGACTTGAAGGTGATGTCCAAATCATCCAAGCTCATGGAATGCATGTGATGCTCGACAAAATCGACTCAACATGCGGTGCATCCGGGGACTTGCTATTAACGCAAACGGGCAATTGCCCAGCCGTCAGTGCCTCGGGACAGATACATTACAGTCTCAAAGGTCATCTCATATAATGCCACATAAGATTTTTAATAGCGTAGAGGAGACAGAGGAAGAGGTAGTTGTTTCATGAAGCAACCACCTTATGAGTCATGCGCAAAAAAAAAAAAATCACTATTGTACGATTTAATGTTGATATGCAACTCATAAATTTTCTTTGTTGACGCACAAATTAAATTGAATTACTATAAGATAACCCATTATATGAGTTAGTTATTTGATCATTTTATTATTACGTGGCAATTGTTATGATACTATATTAATGTACTTGCCCTCCGCACAGCAGACGGGAGTGACCAAGAGCTGAGGCATTCAGGCACCAAGCAGTGTTAATTAGAATAATATTATTGCACTCAAGAAAAAT